CTAAAAACGCCTTGTTGGAAAGTGTGTGACTGATAAGTTCAGGCAATTGGAGAGTGGTGGCATTTATGCAACAACCACCCTGTGGCTACTCCAGGATGATGCTTTCTCAAGGACTATAGTGACCACTGATCAGAGAATGATTGTCTCTCTTTCAAAAGAAAGAAAAAAAAACAAAAGTGAGAGAGAGAAAGAAGGAAGAAAGAGAAAGAAAAAGAAAGAAAGGAAAAGTGTAAGCACCACTGTTTTCTTCCTTACTACACATTCCTAAACAAGAAGGGAATGATCAAGTTCCTAACTTATAATTCATTTCTCAGAAGCTATTAAATATGTGCCAATGAAAAATATGGCCGAACTAACTCAAGGACGAATTTCATCCATTTATATATAGCCAATCTTCAGTCTCTTGTGAACTTTAACAAAAGATGTTCTAAAATGCTTACATGGAATAAAGCACTCTGTAATTTCGATTAATAGGAAGTATTAAATTATACTTGAAGCAATCGGCCAAATGATCTTGGTAGATATTAAAGTGAGAAGTATTACCATGAAAACAGTGACCACTTAATCCATCAGTAGAACAATTTGCATTCTAAAAGATTCTGATTAACATGGGAAAAAAATTCTCTAAGGAAAAGTTTTCCTCAGGGAGCTACCAGCAAGACCAAAGGAAACATATTTATACCAATTAAATTTCTATTGAAATCCTTTTGTTTTCTATTCAAATCCATAATAAACCAGAAGTTCTGCTCAGCTTTGGGGATGTAAGGATAACAAGGCAGACATGACCCCAAGGATCTCACATCTCCTGCTGAACTGGAGATCAATAAGCAAATACAGTTCAATGATAATCAAGGCAAACAATGGATGTGATGGCAGCCTGCAAAAGAAACATTTGACCCATGATAGGGAACTCAGTGTAGACTCACATGAGGACCCAATTCTTTAATTAAGTCTGAAAGATTATGTAAGACATGGCCCAAAACATGCAGCAGAGGGAACAGAATGTACAATGTCATAAAGGTCTATAAACACTCGTCATAGTCAAGAATTCTGAGTAGTTCAGTATGGCAGGAGCATAGGTTCAGGTGGAAGAATAGAGTTAAAGCTGAAGATGTAGTTAGCAGCTGGATCATGATGACTCTTAGATATCACCCAAGGACTTTGACTATTTTCAGATAATGTTAATGTAATTAATATGGCCACTTCTACGTCTCATGACTTCACATTCAGATGAAGCAAATCAACAGGAAGGGTCAGACTTAAGTGGAGCATCCATCACCTCCATCATTCATAAAAGGGATCCAATGGTTATTTTTTGTTTAGAATATGGTATTTGTTTCATTCACAAAGAGGAAATGCATATATATAGCCTTTGCTTGCCAAGAAAGATGTTAGGGAATATAATTATTCTTAGCAAAATGGAGATCTGGAAAGGACATATGTGTGTGGGGGGGTTACCGACTGTATTTGTCTATTGCTGGGGAGGTACATGGGACAAGTGAAGTGCTGAGTAATAGCTGTGGGAAGGAGAGCAGGGGAAGAATACTGGTAGGTGGGTTTTGAATGGAGATATGGGGGGAAGCTCTAAATCCTGAGCTAGAGAGGAAAGCTATGTGTGATTGGTGAACAGAGAAGCAACTTGCATGCTTTGGTGGGGGAGGAAACAGAAAGGGGTGGTTCTCACCATTTGCAGAGATTTGTGCCTCTAGAGTTAGAAGTATTTGCCAACACTTATGCACAAACCAAAAAAGATATTGAAAAAATTGATAATCATGTTAGTGAAAGGAATAGGGATCAATGGCAAGAAGAATGCCAGAGAGGGAAAAGATTGTTTAGAAAAAAACAAGCTGGCAGTATCCATTTCAAAATAAGCTATATCCTGCCTCTTACACCCACACAAAAGTGAGGTAAAATTTGCCAAAAGGAATTTGCCAATTGTCAAAGCAAAACTTGGCAGCCCTAATTACACTTGCTACAAGTGAACAAAATGAATACTCTCTATGAATCGTTCTCAAAGCCGTCCAGGACCACATCCTGAGTGGCATCCCTATATTTGGATATTCTATATTTTACTATTTATTTATAGCTTGACTTGCTTTCACAACAGACCTAAGTCATATGAAACTTTATACATTAAAACAATAAAATACAAGTTTAAAAGAATGAGAACCATGGAAAATAAAATTAAAATAAGAGCCAGACTCTTAGAGGAGATGAGCAGGGTGGAGAAACATGTTGCTCTGAAAGCCAACATTAATCCCCATTGTTTTGTTGACCCACAGATTTGTCTCTGGGTTTCTTACCCAAGAAAGTAAAGAAAAATAATTAACTATATGGCTCCCTTTATCTGTGAAGAAAAAATATACTATTAGTTTTTCAGAAGTGTATATTTAGATTTTAGGTTATCATATTTGAATGGAAGAAGAGTTTAGTTCCATGCATGGTATCAGAGGTCCATCTCAGGAAAGGTAAGATCATTAGTGAATATTTTAAACAGTCTTTTCCATTTTAAATACTATATAATATATTTGTAAACATTTTTTGTCTTAAATAAGCTAAAACGGTCTTAGTTACAAGTGAGAATGTTGACTAAGGTATGATGTACTTCATCTTTCCAGAATTTCTTTTCAAGTCCAATAAGTACTTCCAACACAAGAGAGACTATGGAACTTAGCAATTGGGATAGTATTCCTATCATCATTACAACTATACTTTTTCATAAAAACATATCAAATAGTTAATTTCTCTCTCCAGATCTTATCCACTAAGTAAAACTGATTTACAACATCTATCTACAAAAGGCTGTCACCTGTCATTTTATAAGGATTACTTGAAAAACCTTATTTGTTAAAACCAAAAGACATTTTCAAGCAGTAGCATTTTTATTTCAATTTTGTCCAAATTATTTTCTACAAAATATGTACTTATATACTAAAGAATTATTCTGACAATGTGTATTTTGAACAAACTAAATTCACACTGAAATGCACTTCAGAAAGTTATTTGAAATATGTATTACTCTTCTTGCTCCTTGCTCCCAATATAGCCTTAAACCCACTGAGTTTCAAGCTCTGTTAATACTCAACACATGAAAAATATGTATCTTAGTGCATACACATTGTACAACAAAGATTTCACAGTTACAGCTAACACTGTTTTTATTTTTAACTACAGACGATTACGTTCTATGTAAATACCATCCCCATTTATCCTACACATGATGCCAATACGTTTTATTTTGATTTTGTTCCAAAGCATGGGGCAGAAACCTAAAATAGTTTATCTAAATTCTATGTCCAAAATAAACAAATCAAGGAATTTGACCCTCAAATTTTAATTATTAAATAAATGTAATATAATCTAATAAAACTCAGAAATTATAGCACTCACATACTCATCTGATTCTTCCTATCATAGAAACTTTCTGAATTCAGGTAAACACACATTTAAGTTCTAGAAATTTGATACTGACTTTTGAAAACATAAATGCCAAACACAAGTTTCTGAAACCAGTTAATTGGGGGAGAGAAAAAAGGGTTGAAAAGGCAATGAGAAGAATGAAGTTGCTTAATACAATATCTGACATAACAAAGTAAACGTATTACAAGAATAGTGACTGAGTCTTCGTCGCTGAAAATATCTAAAAGTTTCACTACGAAAGGTAGTATTATGTATTCATGATTCAAGAAGAGCAGGCAGGTAACTTCTCTATGGGAGAGCATATCTTCATAATTATATCTGGCACATGAAAAGTGCATCAGTTTGAGAGCATTTTTGGATGTGTTTAACATGTACTTATTAAGCATAATGAAAATACATACAATTGAAGTTATAGGCATTAGAAAAAAGAACAAGGTGGTAACTGCACTCATTTAAGGAGTTCTCTGAATAGATGTACTCTCAAGGTAATTAACCCTTTCTAGAACTTTTTTCATTTATAAATATGCATTTGTAATTTTTAAAAGGGATATTTATAGGATTTTTTAGTCCATTTAAAATGCTTGCTTATTTGTATGTCACTTCATTCTGTTGGGCAATTTAGTCATACATATAACCTAGGATAAGATCATTAAACCAAACAAAATAACAAAATCCAAGGCCCTGATCTGTTGCTCAGAGCAAAATCCCTGGAATTTCCTTCACATCCAATGTTTCAGGGAAACAATAGGCATTTCCAGAAACAGATATTCCTGGACGTCTGACTATGGTGCTCTCAGGAAGAAGCACTTCTTAAGAAGAATCATTCCATCTAAGCTTCAAAAGAGTGGCAACAAGCTGAACATATACCACAGATAAAATATACAGCTATAATTATTATTAACATTTGATCAATAGACATCTTGAATGATAGTCTTACTATTAACCACACACAGATTAAGTAAACTATAACAAACCATATTCAAATCTAAATTTGAGACAATATTTTACATTACATAAAATAACTAAGAATCTATTAAAATATGTTTTCAACACTACATGGAGGATATTGTTAGTTTTATTGAAATCAAACATAGTTATAGAAGAACTTAGAATTTCACGAGAAAATGAATTCACCTATAGACTGTTTTCTTAACGAATACTTCAGCTATTGTAACAAAGTTTTACTGTTAACATCTTTAATGGCAAAAGACTCTATGATGTAATATATAGGTAACTTCTTATGCTTGAGCACTGATAGCAATGTGTGTATCTATATCTATATCTATGTCTGTGTGTGTGTATCTATATGTGTGTGTGTGTGTGCATCTCATGCTGATTTTCAGTCTTCATTCAGTCATACTGTTTTAGAGTTGTGATGGGGGGTTAAATATCCTAAAATGTGGGAGGATGCAAATTTATTTTCTAAAATTAAACACTTTTACCATCAAGTACTATACAATACTGTCTGTCATTTTCTTTTCTTTAATCTATTCCTGGATTTAAAGTAACATCGACTACCTCAAATCAATTATTCACATTCTAATTAGGATGAAAAGTAATATGCTATTTTTTCGTACCAGGTCTCCAAAAAGAAGAGATGCAACAGACAAGACATTTACATGTTTTCACCTTGAAGCTGTAGCTGCCCCTGATGTAGGAAGGGTTAATAAGCACCAGAAAAGGCTTGCCAACAAACTGTGACCCGGAGGTGAGAAGGCCAGTTAGCCAATGACGGATAAGACCTCCAGGGGGAGGCAACCTAAGCCAGGCACTGGTCGCCCGGGGGCACAGATGGAGACACGATATCAGGAGCAAGAGGGGCCATTGCCTAGGAGGCCTTGCATGCTGCGAGATAAAATATAGGAGCACAGCAATAACATGATAATATCAAAACAGAGGCCGAGGGAGGGCTCCTTGAGAAATCACTAAGAATTCTTGGCATTCGCTAATTACATTGTCCAGAACAACTGTGTATGTTTAACAGATGTAAGCTATGTATATATTGAAATGCTGGGTATAATAAACTCAGAGTGGCCATCAGCCCTCTCTGCATCTATCCTGATTTGTACATTGGATTGCGACACCGGCAGAAGCTAGGAGCTGAATTTCACTCTAGGATTTTCAGTTTACTGATCTGTAAAAATTGTTTGGGGTAAAATACTTTATATATTTCTCAAGTATCCCCCTAAGTATTTATTACAAGAATTCCGTATAATGACTCAATGTTTTGTAAATGAAATCTTTTGAAATAAAAATGTATATAAATATAATCATTCCCTTTTGTACTGTCAGTTTAACATCATGTGTTCAGATTCTACAGACACATGATTTGAATATGACAAATATATATAACTACTTTAAATATATAACTGAAGAATTATATTTATAAGATATTGAAATGTTAAATTCATATTATCCAAGTGTATTTATATCAGAACTACAAAAGAAGAAACTCTTATTACATCAAAAAGAATTGTGGCTTTTTCTCTTTTCTATAACGAAGTTACAAAATAGTCTCATTCAATAATTGTATGTGCCTCTTTTAAATAGCTATATCTATTAAAGCAGAAAAATATAAATTAAAATAGAAAGGAGAGACTCTTCGATTAAAAGAGTGAGAACCAAAGTTGAAGTATTGTAGCACTAAGTGAGAGTGACTTAAATCAACAAATGGTATCCTAATCCACAGGCCCAGATAAACGGAGTCATAGCAAGTGGAAATAATTAAAGTTGTTGATGTCAATTTAAAACCATTCTGGGCATTAAATTTGAAAAAGAGGTATTTTCAGAGTAGCTATGTGTTTGGTTTTTTTAAAGATTTTATTTTTTTCCTTTTTCTCCCCAAACCCCCCTGGTACATAGTTGTATATTCTTCGTTGTGGGTCCTTCTAGTTGTGGCACGTGGGACGCTGCCTCAGCGTGGTTTGATGAGCAGTGCCATGTCCGTGCCCAGGATTCGAACCAACGAAACACTGGGCTGCCTGCAGCGGAGCACGCGAACTTAACCACTCAACTACGGGGCCAGCCCAGAGAGTAGCTATGTGTTTTAAGAAAAAACAAATGACTGTATCTTTGGGATTTGTGAGTTTAATATTTATGCTGATGGAAAAAAAACAATAAATTTATGTCAACATGAAAGGAACTATGGGTTTGTATTGCTGAAAATAAAAAAGAAATGATATATAACCAGAGTTTTTAGTTTCATGCTTCACAACTCATTAATAAAGAAGGAAAACAAACTCATCTAGACCAAGAAACTATTACTTAAATGGTCAAGGCTCTAGGATCCAGAAGGTAGTGACCTATTTCACTTTAGGGAGAAAGACTAAGTGTTATGTAATGTGAAGGCAATTCTGACTTATCTCAACAACCTGCCTGTGACAGAGAATGAATGAATGAACATCATTTTTTCACATACTGCCCGGCTCACGTAAGAAACTATTCAAACCTTGAAAAAGTCATTCAAATTCTATAGTAAAATGTAAAAGAAGACAAATCAGATTTAGGAAATACATATACAGACTAATTTAGATCTTTTTTAAATGAGGTAAATGTAATTTAAGCACACTTGAATATTAAATATTGGAGAGAACAGTCCAGTAAGTCAAAGTGTAGTTCCTAGATAAAAGTAAATGAATTAGTATTTAGTAAAAACCAGCCAAGTAGTGAATAAGAATAGTATCCTGTGAAGTGAGTGCCTGGTCAGCCAGAAGAACCACGTGGATTATGGGCTGCCTTCTCAAATCCACATTGGTATGTCCAGTCTCTGTGGGGTCAGTTGGGATCCCCAGAGATGACTGACCATAGCAGGGAAGGAAGGACACTTTTTGATCATGTGACAGATATTTCCTCTGCAAACTCTTTAAATTTGGGAAGATTAACACCATATTCTAACCAACTTAAATAGAACTAAACAATGTAGGAACTATGAAGTAATTCTCTCTTTATCCTGTGAATTATTAAGGCACGTATACTAGAACACATTATCCAATTCAGACTTCCATAACCAAAGAAAGGGTTTTGGAAGACAGCCACAGAGATTATAAAAGGATTGAAAAACAATTCCTATCAGAAAGGCAGAGCATTCTAGGTTTTTCAAGATGAAATGAGCTTAAAGAAGAATCTGAAGTATTTAAATTTGCAATAAGGAAGATTGTGAGACTGTGAGTTGTTAGACATGAAGGTGGTTTGCTGAGACTGCAGAAACTCCAATCCAGAGAATCTTTAAAAATAGGAAGGATTCAGACCAGCTGCTCAGAAGGATTGACCATGGACTTTATTCAACAAAAACTCTCCAATATTCTACTAACCCAATGAATTTAATTGTCAGTGCCAACATAAACAGTACATTCCATTGAACACTTCTAATTCAGTAGCATATAGTTGGGAAGGGGGTTTGCAATGACCCACTTTATACAGTGCATAAAAGCATGTGAGTCAATACTTTGCCATAATTAGTAATCCTAGTGATATTGCTGGGTACTTGCACTTTGTGATTTTAGATTTCTCATGCAAAACACATATAGCACTTAATCAAAGGTTTTTATAATATATTTCAGTTTTGAATAATTTATGCTAATGAAGCATTAAACCATGATGGAAAGTAGCAAAAATAAATAAAAATCAGGCAACTTAAGTTTGCCCTCTTTATATCATACAGACAAAATCTTGGTTTTTACATTAAACTAGAAAGGTTGTTCTTAAGTTTAAACACTTAGTCGCTTATTAATAACCCAAAACTATTTTTGGTATATCATGACTTTTTTTCTCGAAATGCACTTGAACCCTTAAAATATTAGCATACAGTATGTACCAAGAATGCATTAGTAATATATTGAAGTCAGATTCTGGAAAAAATCATTTTATAAAAAATGCTTGAATAAATCAAATAGTAAACTAAATTGAATAGTTTGCTACGTTAAATAGCAATCACTCAAATTGCATGTAAATACATTTGTATATAGTACAACAAGCCATCCAACTGGTATTTTCACAAAGAACTCTTTGGCTTTCCTTAAAGAACCTACACAGTTAAGCATTAGATTTGATCAAGTTTCGTCATCCAACACTTTTCCTTTTGCCAGGACCCTGATGCAAAATCTTTAAAGAGTTTCTTTTCTTATAAAGTAACAGCAGCATTAAGCTAATCCCGATGGATGACTACACAAAGCATGGTTATAAAGTGGCACTCAAACTTCCTACATTGCCCAAATCAGCAGATTCATAACTTGACATAGCACACACGAACTACCTTCAGAGCCCTGCAGTTAACTGCATTCGGTAAACATTTGCATCCATAGCGCTGTAGATGCTAATGACTGTGTTGAAAATACACATGTAAACACACACCCCTCACTGTGTAACAGTCTGTCAATAAACTGTATAAACAGATCCAATATACCTATGGGTAAGGTAGATACCCACCACCCACTCACTGCACCAGGACAATCTCTCTTTTTGTTTATGCTGATTTTGAACGTGTGTGAGTGTGTGTGTGTGTGTGTGTGTGCAGGTTACCGGAGAAGGAGATCCGTTCTCGCAGAGCGGCCCTCTGAAGACTCCTTTAATGCCCCGGTAGTGCCCATTGCTGAGATGTCTCGAACTGATGACCAGGTAACAAGCCATGTGGGTCCAGACGGGAGGCGCAGAGTCTCAACTCCTCACCAGGCGACTAGCCCTGGAAATGCGGGCTGGTTTCTCAGCAGCAACAGTGACTGCCACCTCCCGAGAAGAAGCGGCCAGCAGTAAGCAGGGGACGCTGCGGCCGCGCGTCCCGCTCCTCGGCCCGCGCGGGGCTCCTGCTGCCGGCAGCGGCTGCTCTGACCGCGGCGGCAGCGGCAGCCACAAAGCACTTAAGGGACCCGGCGAGCCAGTCCACATGCTGCTCTGACGACGTGGCTGCTCAACCGCGGGCAGGCGATATATTTTTTTTAAGGAGAACTTCCTGGGTCCGCTGGGAATCAAGAACTCCCCTCCCCTTTTCTCCGCCCCCCCGCCTTCGCACGAAGTGCAGGCCCCGGGATGCTCAGGCGCGCGTCCCCATGGTCTGGCAGGGGCGTCTGAGGGCTGGCTGTGGGCTGCGGCTCCGGGATTCAGCAGCAGCAGCCGGTGCGGGGAGGGTGCTGGGGAGCCCTCGGAGCGCCAAATCCTGTCCCCGCTGCAGTGGCGGGAGAGGAGGCGGAGGAGGCGACGGCCCGGCTCGGGTGAGGCCAGGGAGTTGGAGACGCGGCGACTTGTGAGCAGGAGCTGTTAGCGCCGCCGCTCGGAGCCCTGGGCTCGGGACCGCCCGGGAGAAGGGGGCGCGCCCGGCAGCCGGGCGAGGGGGCGACAGCTGTGGTGGCCGCGGCGGGAGGCTCTCGCGGCTGCAGGACGCTCCGCTGCACCTTGCTGCCATCAGCCGCCCTAGCACCGTGGTCCCTCTGCCCTGTCTCTGGGCCAACTTTGCACCGTGTTTGCGGGCGGGGGCCCGGGATGACTGGGGAGGCCCGCGGTGGAGGAGAGGAGCAGGAGGATAGCGTTTTCTTCGTTCTTTCGCGATCTGCATTTCTTCAGCGGCGTTGGCAGAAGCGGTAGCTTCCCAGCCGGCTGTAAGGATGAGCTGTGCAGCCCCAAATAGGGCAGAGATTAGATGCGCTATGGTAGGTAGGTAATGGATGGAGGGGGAAGTAAGTTTTAGATAGAAAATTTATATAAGGAATAGAAATGGAACATGCATGTGTGTATGTGTGCGCGCATCCAGAGTTTTAAAAATTCACTTTC